CCCGAGTGACAAAGATTTTTTTTTTTTCCGAGAACTGATATAACCTGGCCTCTCGCCCAGTGCCCGCTTGACGTTGAGTTTTGGGACACCCTGTATACGCAATTATATATCGTAATTATATATCTCCAAAATGTATAACAATAGTTAATTACCATATAGGCAAACTTACTTTTATCAACTGAAATAAATAATGTCACGGGGAGGTTTACCCACAGGACAATAAATACAGTAGAAGTGGTTATTAAGCATCCGACGTGTGCCAACTATAGGTGTCGAAAGACCTATCTGAGTCAGTCCGCCATTTTCGCTTTGTATGGTATGGTTGTGTCATTCTTTCGTGCAAATTCTCTAAAATCCTAGAAAAATGCCTTATTGTACTGTTTTGGTGTGCAAAAATATTAGCCGCACCAAAAATATTATTCATATCATTGGAAAATCTTAATTTAATAAATTTTCAATTATCTGTTTATCGAAATAATTTGTTTGTTACAAGAAACGAAAGTAAAGCTTATACTCCTGCAATATGGTCGCTTCTTTTTTGGAGAACTAAATTAATAACTCTAATTCGTCGTCGTTCAGCAATAAACCGCTAGGCAGCACATTGATTCAAAATTTCAATATAATATCAAAACGTCGTAACTTGTAATATTAGTTATTGATCGTATTGAACTTTCAACAATACGACCCCTCCTACGTAAAGTATCGTATGTCGAAATTGCCAAGTTTACAGGGAAGCGTTTTAAAGTTCTCCGTTTTATTCGGCAAAGCTCGTTACTCAAATAGAGTGATCATCTAGTACATCCTCTAACCGATATCTAGGATTTTATAATACTCTATGTGAGTAGCGAGCTTTGTCGAATAATACTGAGAAATGCTAAAGTCACGTGTTGTGCTTATTTCAGTGAATTCAGAATATTTAAAAGGCTCCTCTGTAAACTTGGCAATTTCGACTTACGATACTTTACGTCGGAGGGGTAGAATATGCCAACAGGGTAAAGTTTAAATTATATTAACAATCTAGAATTTGTTATTTTTTTATATATTGAGGAGCTGTCAAATTTATCAAAGCTACTCTAATTTCTAGTGATGACAAACAAATCAACTAGATAGCGCTTATTGCACAGATTTTTTTCTGTATTTAGGATTAGCGCCATCTACCCATATTAGGAAGCGTTAATTTATAAATTAGTTTGTAACACACAATGCCATCTATCGACACGCATATTTATCACAGTTCAGAAAATAGTTTTAACTCATTATCAATATTACAAAGAAACAAAACTGACTTCTTATTTTTCATATTAAAGAGGAATTATTTTATATTCTTGGCCATTTACATAATATTATTTCTCTCGTGAGTTTGGGTGTAATTTGTGGCTGTCTATGTGCGTCCATGGCACCCGCGACGCAGGATCTCCCTAGTGTGGGGCTATGTTGATTGTGTGCGTTCTTATTATTATATACAAAAATTTGGTACTCGTCGCGACAAGCTGTCTTGTACCGCCATCGAGTGTATAACCAAATAGAGACGAAATGTCATTTAATTTATTTTGAAAACTATTTTGCCATAATATTACGGTGACAACTGCGTTCCGATTGGCCAGCCCGAATTCGAAACAATTGACGGGTGTCGTCAATTGTTTTATTTCAAATCGACCAGTTAACTTCAGCTTTACTATAATGGGCGAAAATTGCAAAATTACATATTTAATTACCTATGAAATGTGATTCCGTTTGTTTTGTAATTAGATGTTTTGCTGTTTTACCCACACCACTGAATAGAACAGCACGCCATTGTTAGAGATATTATCTTTATTACAATAAATACAGAATATTATTGGAATATACGGAGACGTACACACAGGTCAGTTGTTGGCGCTTTACTATTTCAGCTTTCTAATTTGTAATTTCAGTGCAAACGAGAGTTGATATTTAAAAGTTATGTAAGGCCCATTTACGTGATTAGTTGCCAGTGATATATGGCCCTTATTTCGTCTCTATTTCTGGTTATGTACTCGATGTGTACCGCGACTAGTAGTTTTCTTCGGTTATTGGTCCATGGTCTTTTAACAGTCTCTTTTTGTACGTCACGTGTGACGTGTACCGCCACATCATATGACTTTAACTTAACGTAAAGTTATTATCTTTGGTCTTTTATCAAACATATTAGAACCCATTATGATGCTGAAGTTTAACGCTATTAAAAAACTCTCTCACATTTATCGCCGTAAACTTAGAAAAACAAATGGTAGTTTGCCTTGCTGGGGTTTCCAAGGAAGTAAAGATAGCAAGTTGCCCCTCAGGCCTGCAGCCTGGTGGTGAACTCGCGGCCCCACCCGGAGCAGCCGGCGCGCGCGCCCGAACTGCTCGCGCGCTACTGCGACTGCCTGCTGCGCAAGCGCAGCGGCAGCGCCGAGGCCGACGTCGACGACAAGCTGGCCGCCGCCATAGTGGTGTTTAAGGTGAGCCGAAAGACGGTCGGTTCAGTCCGTTATTTGAGGTGATAAGATGGCGTTTCGTGTCTTAAGTTAGTCACCAGATACAGATAGGATCATGTTTAAGGCTACTAACAAATTGACCTCGACTGCATGAAGTTGGTAACGACTTCACGCAGTCGATCTCGACTGTATGAAGTCGGTTTGGACTGCATGCAGTTAATGCGTGAAGTCATTATCCGCGACTTCGACTGCATGACGTTGATTACGACTGCACGCATTAACTGCAAACATGTAGTCAATCTGTTAGTAGCCTTAAGTTACCTTCTAAGGCCACACTTTTGTTCACAAAGCTTCAAATATCGGAGGTGGGAGATGTAGTAAAATATAGTTATGTATGGATGCAACTCTGACTTTGATAAAGACGGGAGTCGGGAGTGTCGTTTATCTGACCGGAGCGAAGTAGTCTTTTTTAACCGACTTCAAAAAAGGAGGAGATTCTCAATTCGACTGTATGTTTTTTTTTGTACGTGTGTGCACGATAATTCCGTTTGTGAATCGATTTTACTGATTCTTATTTTGTTGGAAAGAGGGTACCTCAGTATTGGTCCCATTTAAATTTTAAGATAAGATTCCACCTCTAAGGGCGGCAAACTAGGGGATGAATCCGGTGTCGCGCACTTTACCGGTAGCCGATTTCAATAAAACTTGGCAAATATATGTAATTTCTCCAAGTTTTGAAGTTGTTTTTTTTTTATATAAAAAAATTACAACTATTTTGTGTATGTTAGGCGATTACTCCGACATCTATGAACCGATTTCGGATTTTTTTGAAGGTATATCTCTGTGGTGGTCCCATTTAAATTTTAAGACAAGATTCCACCTCTAAGAGTGGCAAATTAGAGGATGAATCCAGTTCGTTGAATTTCACCCATTAATTCCACGAAGTTTTGAGTTGTAATTATTTTATTATTGTTTCAGTACGTAGATGACAAAGACGTGTTCCAAAAGTATTACGCGAGGGCGTTGGCTCGAAGACTTATTCATCAACTATCGGCGTCCATGGAACAGGTACGGCCTACACGAACGAATATCTATTCACCGAATCTCAACATCGAGAATGCCTTAATCATTCTTCTCAGAGGCATATGCCTTAGGGCTCTTACATATAAACACTATGCGACGTCGTATCGTGGAAACCTACGACGAACAACGTAAAAATTCACGACATAATATCGCAACGTGGCACAACACACGGTACGACGTCGTATCGTAGAAACTCACGGTGCGCTCCCCAGTGCCGCATTAATTTGTTATTCAATATTCAAAGATGACAGACGACATTGAGGTTGATTATTTAATAACCCTAGTCGAGATCGCGAAACGATGCCGCGTCGTAGCACGACGCGACGTCCCATTATGTCGTAACGTTTTATTTGTCGTCGGAGGACTGTCGTTCTAGCTCTTCCCATCGTCGTTGTAACGACAAAAACTCGTGAACGACAGTTAAAATGTTGTCTTATATGTGAACAACTTCATTTAATTATACAAACCACGACACTTTAAGTGGCACGATTATCTGTCATCAACACGCCGTAACAAAGGCGTTGTAATGTGAAGGTTTCGAGTGGAAGAAGGACGAGGAGGACATCCCGTGTTCATTCAATCGTAGTAAACGAACTTCTCTAAATTGATTTTGGTCTAGACGTTGTGGATAAAGTCCAGGACGATTTGGTCATATTTGTATATGGCGAATATAGGTGAAAATGAACGGGAAACCGAACCACTTATTTATTGGATTTAAAATACAATAACAATCCACGTATCACAAACCATATCGTCCAGTGTTTTGTGGAAAGGGCGAAATCGCCATTTCGAACCATTTTTCGGTAGAGCATGTTTTAGTAGACGATGTAGTAGATCTCTTCCATGAAAGAAAGAGTTCGTCCAGCGAAGTACTGCCACCTTACGTATTTCTGCCGCCAAGCAGCAATATGAGCATTACGTTTCGGTTGTCACTTTACTCCATCTTTAAAAAAGACAGGCTACAGTTGGTAAGAGCGGTTGTGACTACACGAAACCGCTTCGAAACGGATGTATGAAAGTAAGTTCGCACTTTACTCTCGTACATCCGCTCCGGGTCGTGGAATAATCGACGTCTTTTGTTTTCAGGAAGAAGCAATGATAAATCGTCTAAAGCAAGCGTGCGGCTACGAGTTCACCAATAAACTACATCGTATGTTCACCGACGTCGCAGTGTCGGCGGACCTTAACGCCAAATTTCAACAACACCTCAGGGACACCGGCAACACCACTAGCACCGGCTTTGCCGTACAGGTACAGTGCAAACAAGGTGACAATAAAGTGCAATAAAATTATAAGTTACAAGGCATAGTGTTTAAATCATTCAAAATTCACTGTAATGAAATGAATGCTGATAATCAATGTCAACTAATAATGTAAAAATGTCATGCATGTCAACCAACATCAATTTCAGTTTTGCGTTTCTTTTTGTTTTTTATAGTTTGTCCTAAAATTTATTTGTAAAACCTTTGCTATTATATCCACATTTAGCTGTCAATTTCGAGTGATAAATTTAAAAATTTTATCACAATAGCGAACATGGCGAGCAACGTGACGTCACATTTCTATATCATCGCGAGCGCCGGCGACCAATGACTGCAAAAGATTAACACAGTGCCAAACATGGCAGCAAGGTCACGGCTGATTTTTTTGAAAACGTTTGCACAGTAATTTTATTAACATAAAAATTGAACGCGAAAAACAAAATGAAAAGACATTTCTTGTTTCATGGTTTTCGCGGCGATAAACGACAAAGATAGCTATATACGCAAATTCATATCGTTGTCCTTGTTCTTCAAAATGTATAACAATAGTTCGTTACCAAATACTTAGATTAGATTTAAGACTATATATATTATCAACAGAATTAAATATTGTCATGGGGAGGTATATATCACACTTATTCTGCCATGCGGCCTTAGCATAGCTACGGCCACAGGAATGATGAATTTTTATGATTTATTGCTATAATTCCCCAACAACAACAAGCACAACAGCAAAAGTTTTCATTTTATAAATAAATTTTGAAATGAACTAGCAAAAGCAACGAACGAATGTTTATTCGTTCGGTTGTCGGTTGACGCGTTGTTGCACACCAGCATCCAAATGACACGACCTTGCAGGTGCTGCAGGCGGGCGCGTGGCCCCTGGGCGGCGCCATGGCCCCCCTGGCGCCGCCCGCGCAGCTGGAGAGGCCCGCGCGGCTGTTCGAGGCCTTCTACCGGGCCTCGTTCAGCGGCCGGCGCCTGGCCTGGCTGCACCACCTCTGCACCGGCGAGCTGCGCACGCGCTACACCAGCCGGGTGTACCACATCAGCGCCACCACGCCGCAGGTCAGTGGGGCTCTGGGGCTCTCTGGGGCTCTCTGGGGGCGAGGACGGCTGCGCGATGGCGATACCGACCTGTTGTTTGTGTGCAGTGCGCTCTCTTGCTGTGCTTCGAGAACGTGGACACTGCGCCGGCGCGGGAGCTCCGCGAGACGCTGCAGCTCACTGGGGACTCCTGGACCAGACATATGAGGTAATCAATTTCAACTGTTTAAGCGCCATCTAGGGAGAGACAAACCGAAAAACGCCACCTGCGTGCGAGAACCAATGAATTTTGCGAATGAACTGTTTCCTTCGATTAATAATTCGGTCTTAATAGCTACGTTAGACGGCTGACTGCAATACAATGTTGATTTGCATTCTCGCCATATACACAGAGGTCCTTCTAAATCCGAAACTGAATCCAAATTACTAAAAAAATAAATCGAAAATAATTCCTAAATTCTTATTTTTTATTTAATTGCGATAAACATAGATTCGCAATCACCTGATCCTGCTTGATCCAAAGGTCATTGACTTGCACGGTACGTGCTACCAAAACTTATAGCGCAGCCAAAATTCAGAGGAACCGAGAAGTATTGCTATCTCTTTCTTTCTAACTACCTTACTTACGCACAAGGATTAAGGTGGGATAGCCGAGGTCTCCGCAATTCTAGTGATCCATTAGCTAGTTTCTCACGAAATGCCATATGGTTTGGTATGTAAACAAGAATTAGTGCAAAAAAGAATCGCTACCAGGTTCACCAGAACCATAAAGCATTACCATAAAGTGCGTGTGTGTACGAGACTATTCTTATGGCATGATGTTAAACGTTTAGTTAACGCGGAAGCGATTACGAGTGTCGAAGAATTTTACGCAAAAATCGTCTCTGCTTTCAAAATTGTGACGTGAAATGTGGAAAGTTGAAACGAAACTCTACGTGCGTACGAATCTCTGCATAACTGTGAAACTAGGTACTTCTAGCAATGCTTTCATGTAATCTATTGTTGGTAAGTACCAAATCTAAGTTACAAAAAAAATTTTTTCAGTCAACTTTTCAAATTAATGTAAATAATGAGTAAGTTGTAACAATACTAGTACATAATCATAATTAAAAAATTTGATTAATTTAAATAAGCAATCGGGTAACATTACGTATCGTTCGATGAAGCCAGTGGCGGGGTCGATGACCTCGCGCGGTGCATCCGATTTAGGGACAATTTTGCAAAACTTTACTAGATACAACTAGCCAAAATAGTGAACAGAATATTTTTTTCAATATTTTTAGATTAATATTATTTATCGAGTTCTTAGATTTTCGCGATTGTTACACATAGGAAATGGAAACTATTTTTCCAGATTTAAATCGCGTATATTTGTTGGTTGTTGGTTGACTGACGGTTTGTTTGAAAAAACAAATATACGCGATTTAAATCCGGAAAAATATTACTACTTATTAATATTATTTACTTATTAATATCTTAAATATGGCGAGAATGCAAATTAACACACTGTAATCGGCATCGATTCAAAAAACAATCAACGCTATCTAGAGATATAACTGAATATGACATTCTTTATTTGAACATAAAATATGTGCCGGTAAAGCTTTTTCTTGCCAAAAGCGGTTCGATCAATTGAAATGTTTCATCACGCGGTTTCACTCCCGCAATCCGAAAAGCGCATAGAAGTTGACGGCACTATTCTGCGCACAGGCCTCTCATAGACGCGGGCCTCCTGACGGCGGAGGGCGAAGTGGAGGAAGAGGACGGAGAGGGCACCCTGTCCTTGAATCTCAGTTTCATATGCAAACGAACGAAAGTACGGCTAACGTGCGCCAACGCGCCGGCGACCCAGCAGGGTAAGTGCCGAGTGCAAGCGCCGGCGAGGCTCTGTGGGCTCTGGCTCTGACGGCTCTGATGCTGTGCGCAGGCGGCGGCGCGGCGGGCGGCGCGGAGGGCGGCGAGGCCGCGCACTGCGACGACGACCGCAAGATGTACCTGCAGGCCGCGCTCGTGCGCATCATGAAGCAGCGGAAGGTAACGCCGAAGGTGACGCCGGTAACCAGCTGCTGGTCACCGGCTTCAAAAAGGGCGCTTCTCAATTACTCCTTTGTTGGTCTCGTTTATGTTTCAAGAAAATATTCCACCTCCGAGGGTAGCAAACTAGGGGATGATGCCTCGTGCACTTTCCGGTAGCCGATTTCAATAAAACTTAGCAAATAGATGTATTTCCTCAAACTTACGGGGTCAGTTTTTAAAAAAAGTTATAATTAATCAGGGTTGTCCCTTTCAATATCCTGTAATTTTCCTTTTTCTATAATATTAAGTGACGGGACGAACAAGTCGTGCGCCTGATGGTAAGCGACACGCCTATCTTAACCGTTGCAGTGCCATTCAGAGCTTTAAATCGCAAAAATCTGAGAGGCACTGCCACTGCGTCCTTCACCCCGAGACATAAGTTGACAAGTCCCATGTGCCTGTAATTTCACTAACACCTTACTGCTTAGCGGTAGAAACAGGCAAGGTGGCAGTACTTCCCCGGGCGAACTTTTTTACAAGCTCTCCCGCTACCAAAACTATATTCGCTACTTACTTAAACCATATCCGCTTCTCCGCAGGTCCTTCGCCACACCGAATTAATTCAAGAAGTAGTATCACAAGCGCGGGGTAGTTTCGCCCCTTCCGTCGCGATGATCAAGAAATGCATCGAGGCGCTGATCGACAAGCAATACTTAGAGCGGGCACCGGGGTCGCTCGATACGTACAGTTATTTAGCGTAGAACTTGCTTAGGACTTTAGTGTTGCACCTTTATCGATTGAAAACGGTCGCAATATCAATAGAAATGTCAATAATAAAGGCTACATATATAGTTAATAATTATTGGGAAAATTCCTTGAATATTTCCACATGCTGTTGCTGCGTCGGTAAGTTATCGTATTAATTGAGGCTGTCAGGGCAAAAGTGGTGTAACCCACTCTAATTTTTTTTAAATATTACTTTAAATTATAATGAAGTACGTAATTGTCGCACCCCTCATGGAATAATGGCATAAGTGGAGTTACATCAAAAACGTTTATTGCTCCATTGGATACAGAAAAATACAACCCGCGTCCTCTCCAATTCTTGTAATTCTGGCGACTAATATTGTAGATAGAGTTGTAAGAATTGGAGAGTATGTGGGTTGTATTTTTCTGCATCTAATAGAGCAATAAACATATTTGACGTAACTCCACTTATGCCAGTCCATGAGGGGTGCGATTTAGATGCAATTTAATATTTTTATGCTTGAAAATAGCATTCAAATCTATCTATACTAATATTATAAATGCGAATGTAAGGGCTCGTTCCCATTATATCGAGACGACAAATAAATGTGCAGTTTAAAGAATCGTGTCTTGTATATTGAAATTAAATTCTTCATATACAGTACAACACGATTAACTATCGATAACGACTTTTTTGACGTTACGACGATAGTCTGTCGAGACAATGGGAAGAGGTCAGTGGCAAGGCGTGAAAGTGGTCGTTAGTAAGACCGGAGCCTTAGAGCGCCTGGGTGACGCTTAAACGAACATTTATTAGCACATAAGTTACTAGTACACTTCATTTCACTGGTTAAGTTATTCTACATATAAAATAGAGCACAAAATTTAGTAAAATATTACTAAAACGTGAAAAATTTTAGGCAAGCCTGGGAAACGAGTTATATGGACGCCTCGCCACTGGAAGATATAGAACGACTGTCGTCCGACTATATATAAAACGTCTCGATAAGATAATCGCAGTTTCAAACGACTCTGTCGTGCAAGGCGGCTGCCATGAAACGATGAATTGTCGTCACGCTCCAGTAGGAACAGCTGTCTGTCGTTCAACGATAAATAGTCCACGACAGATATTCGTGATATGAGAACATGCTAGACGCGACTGTCGTCCAACGATAAATAAAACGTTACAACTTAATGGGAACGCGTCCTAATTCTATCTGTTACATTTTCATGCCTAAATCGCTGAACCAATTTTGTTATAGAAATAGGTGGGACCTAGAAGGACAAAGGCTACTTTTTATCACAGAAATAAATCTTAGCGGTGGTAAAATAAGAGATGAACATTTGTATGGCGGACCAATAAAACTGAAAATCAGTATAGTACAGTAAGCTACTTGAAGTATACGCAGGCGGACTCGCAGGCAGCAGCTAATACAAAATAATTATAATAATAATAAAAAAATTCTTTATTTTCTCACCACAATACAATACAGTGAACGTTATTAACGTACAAACTAAAGTATGATAAACGTATTGGGGGAGGCTGATGCCTAATCTAGGCTCACAGCCTGTACTTCAGGTTACCAGGTCTCTAACCTTCAGGAATACATTTCTATGGGTAACATTGACGCAATAACTATATCGATACCTCGCACGTCAAAATACCTATTTTGCTTTTTAACCTAAATATATCCTTTTTATGTATATTAAAGGTTCAATGTCTTCAATTGTGTTTAATTCTTTTTAACCAAAGTGAGTAAAGAGTTGAATATTGCCGCCAAAAGTGAATTCGAGCGAAATAAATTTATCACAAATTGGCTCCAAGGACTAAATTACTCAGAAGCCGAAAGTTTTGTCATGCCCTAATCTCAAAGTCCCGATGCAAAGTCCAGACGGATTTTCACACTTATCAGCCCACAACCCAACCCCTGTCGCACAAACACACACACACATTCTCATAACTTGAGTTAAATATTAGCATATTATTGTTTTCCCCCTCAGTTTATTTTTGTTTGCTATATTATATATATTAGGAACCTACCCAATTGAGCCTCTGTCTCTTGAGATACAGGTTTTACCTAGTACCAGAGTCAGTGTCGTCAGTTGCTACTTCTTGTTCCACTTTCTGTAAGTAATTGTATTTCGAAATTCGCTGTATAATTTGTAAATGTAATTTTTGTAAAATGTTGTGGAAATAAATAAAATTTATTATTATAATAATGTTGGAAAGTAAACATAAGAAACACTAAGGCTGGTTTCACAGCTGTGCGGACCATCTACATGCGTGGAATCCGTAATGCTCTGAGTCGAGTATTTAATTTAGTGCGGATATTCACAGGTGACTTTTGCGGAGTTCACGCGGACTGTGTTTCGTACGGATCAATTCGCGTCACTCTAAAACGATGTTCTAACGCCAGACGTGCTATTCCGCTCCGGTGCTCCGTTCGGACGCTCCGCAGATAAATCCGCACTGCTCTGAAGCCGGCCTAAGTGATTTATTTGGTTTTAAATATATAACCTGTAATATAATATGGATAAAAAATATATTTGACTAAAAATATTTTGACTTACAACAATTTAGGTCAGAGGTATCGATATACGCTTTACACAATGCGGCAAATAATGAACATTAGCACCTTTGAAAGTAATATTTTAGAAAAAAAAATATGTGAGATACGTCACTATTGCCCTGATAGTCTTAATTTATATTAATTAGTAAACTGCTCAGAAGATAAATCGAACAAAACCTCGAAGTCTCTTAACCGTATTGGACCAACCTGATGGACTAAGTCTCAAAGGTAACGCTTTCCCATGAGTAGAACCTATAATAGGTGATGATTTTACATACTTCTATGTGTTCAGTGCTGTCGGAACGAAAAAGGCATAACTAACATTTTAATCAAAATTGAGTTATATGAGTATTATTCAGGTTCAGGAAAAAAGCAACCTACCAATTTTTTTGTTGGATATACAGCTCAAAAGGTAAAACTGACATTAAGCATTTCTTACCATAAAATGTTAAAGATACGAAACTAAGCACGTAATTTTTTTTTATATCAAGTAACGGGACGAACAAGTTGTGCACCCAAACCGGAACGCAGTAGGGCTCACATTGCTGCTTGGCGGCAGAAATAGGTAAGGTGGCAGTACTTCCCTGGATGAGCTTTTCCACGAGATCCACTCGTACTAAAAACTTCAATTACAATAATAACTTCATAATCCTTTACTTCTATTGTAGGTCAACTATTAAAAGTCGCATTTAAGTTACTTATTATCTTTATATTTGATTATTTCTTTTTTCTATTAAATTTAAAAAAAAAATGTTTTTAATATGACAAATTAGAATGCCATGTAAATTTCTGTACAAAATATGTCTTACGTATATTTAACATTCATTAGGCATCTCCGAATTTTTAGCCGACTTCAAAGAAGGTTTTCAATTCAACTGCTTTTTTTTGCATTTTGCGTGATTGCTCATACATTTTGAACCAATTTTGATTATTCGTTTTTGTTGGAAAGGGGATACCTCAGTTGTGTTCCCATTCAAATTTGAAGAGAATATTCCAATGAAAATAAAATGTTACGGTGTCCTAGAACTGATCTGATGATGGAAATGGCAGACAGATGAGAGGAACCCCTCAACAGTGTACAGCAGCTACCTTGTGTTTGGGCTCATATGATTCGTTTTGACGAGGGCTTCTGTCTGTGTTTCAATTTTCGTTGAAGAGACCGCAGCAACGAACATAGCAAAAGATGGCAAAATTTGTAAGTCCGTTTTTCTAATGTGTTTTTCTTTTTTCTGAGGACAAAATAGGCAAATACTATAAACATTCTCTTCCCAAGATCCTATCATTACTAATTTCCCTTATACATCCTCGTTTATTCTAGGTTCTTTCGACCTATGGACTATGGCCATCAGTGGAACGTAAATTATTGAAATACTACAATATACAGGGTTGTTTGTAAAATGGGAACAACCTCTCACGACTATATTACTAACATTATAAACAACAGTTTTTGTTTATAAAATAAAAAAATTTAAATAGTACCCTAAACAGTGATACATCTGTGCAGTAACAAGAGAAAGCACCCACCACCGAAATTATTGCTTAAATAGAGCACGCGGAAATCGTTGCTCAACAAATTCCTACCAAATAAAGATCTAAATTGTGTCGGATATTACAACGAAAACTTAAAAGTTTATTTTTGGTAAATATATTAACTATGCTTTATATAACGTGACCATGCGTCCCGCTTTTAAGCTTCGTGTCCCGCTGTCCCAAAAATATTTAAAAATATCCTGCTTTGACAATACAGAACACACATAATCATGTAGGTGGAAATTCGTAAATGGCATTGGATTACTCATATTTAAGTTTACTCTAATTGTATTATTTGTCCGTGAATTTTCCTAAAATGTATAAATAAATAAATAACAATAAATATAAAAAATCGCCCTAAAGTGTGCATCCTTACTGCGCATGCATTGTTATTGGCTGGAATTAATCGGTGGCGTGGTGCGCCGGTCCGATCTGCCGGATTTTAAAACGAAATCTAACATATTAAAGCAAATTTTTGCTTAACCGAAAAATATATAAAGCCAGCCCACTATAATGTAGTCACTTTTTATTTTTTAATCATTAAACATTTTGTTATTTTCTCTATTTTTTTTATCATCATCATCATTTTGTAACTATGAATAAACATTCTTAAAACAATAATAAGTGAGTCGGTGAGTGCTTGTATAGAAACCTGAGCATGCAAAGGAAGCTAAGATTAAAATAGAATCTGAGCGTAGCGAGCGTTTCTAGGCACGAGACGCAAAACAACTTGCTGCCGAGCGAAACACGACTTTTCACCTCACTATAGCGAGGAAAATGGTAAAACAGTTGAATTGAAATCATCAGTTTTTTTTTTAAATAAAAGAATAAGTCTGTCTTTGGATGCGCTCTGAATTTACAGCTCATAAATTTTCATTCTTGCTCGTGCTTTTATTTTGGGTGATTAAGTGATTATTGAAATAATTTAATAAACACAATTAGTTATCGTTGTCAATTTAATGTCAACAATAATAAGAATAAAATATATCAACGTATTTATATTACATAAATAAGTAAAGTACCACAAATCGCGTAGTTGACCGTGTCATTGCTTTTTTCTCCAAAGAAAAAGTTAGGTGCACCTCACAACAGTCCATCGTCAAG